CCCCCCAACCCCACCTTGGGCCCCCCCAGGCCCCATCCCACCATGTTGGGTGTCACCTTTGGGTGGGGTTTGGGTGCTATGGGCTGATGTTCCTGCCGGTCGCCGGGTCCATCTCCTTTGGTCTCTTTCTTCTCCTCCCCTCCCTTCCTTCTTTGTCCCTTTGTGTCCCACCTCAGTCACTTACCCGGACGTCTTGCAGTGCGTCAACGTCACCATCTTCTCCACGGCCGAATGCCACCGCTTGTACCCCGGTTCCATCACCGACAACATGCTGTGCGCCGGGAGCCTTCAAGGTGGGAGGGACTCATGTCAGGTACGGAGCAGAACCCATTGGACCTGCAGGAACCAGCTCCATGGCCCCCTGAGGTCCATCTCCATGGGCACCTTGAGGTCCATCTCCATGGGCATCTTGAGGTCCATCTCTATGGCCTCCTGAGGTCCATCTCTATGGCCTCCTAAGGTCCATCTCTATGTCCTCCTGAGGTCCATCTCTATGGCCTCCTGAGGTCCATCTCTATGGCCTCCTAAGGTCCATCTCTATGTCCTCCTGAGGTCCATCTCTATGGCCTCCTGAGGTCCATCTCTATGGCCTCCTAAGGTCCATCTCTATGTCCTCCTGAGGTCCATCTCTATGGCCTCCTGAGGTCCATCTCTATGGCCTCCTAAGGTCCATCTCTATGTCCTCCTGAGGTCCATCTCTATGGCCTCCTGAGGTCCATCTCTATGGCCTCCTAAGGTCCATCTCTATGTCCTCCTGAGGTCCATCTCTATGGCCTCCTGAGGTCCATCTCTATGGCCTCCTAAGGTCCATCTCTATGTCCTCCTGAGGTCCATCTCTATGGCCTCCTGAGGTCCATCTCTATGGCCTCCTAAGGTCCATCTCTATGTCCTCCTGAGGTCCATCTCTATGGCCTCCTGAGGTCCATCTCTATGGCCTCCTAAGGTCCATCTCTATGTCCTCCTGAGGTCCATCTCTATGGCCTCCTGAGGTCCATCTCCATGGGCATCCTGAGGTCCATCTCCATGGACTCCAAGGGGAGTTGAAGAAGCCAATGGGGGGTCTTCAACCCGACAAGGGTTGGTCAATGCAAGAGGGGTTGCCCAAGGGGGTTGCCCAACCCAATGAGGGTGGTTGACCCAAGTGGTTGACCACGTTGGAGTTGACCTCCCAACGATGAGCACCCAACCCAACCCCACTTGAGGCCAAGCTCATGGGCTTGGTGAACCCATGGAAGATGACCTCCGCCATGGGGCTGACACCCCCTTTCTCCATAGGGGGACTCTGGAGGACCTCTGGTTTGCAACAAGACCCTCCAAGGCATCGTGTCCTGGGGCATGGAGAAGTGCGGCCAACCCAAGCGCCCCGGGGTCTACACCAAGGTCTGTAGATACGCCCAATGGATCCATAAGATCATGAAGGACAACTGAGGGGACCTCCTCCACCAGCTCCAAATGCCAGAGAAGGGGGAGATCCGAGGACCACGGGGCCACCAGAAGCTGTGGGTGAAGCTGGTGAGATGTGGGGTAGGAAGACACCAGAAATTAAAGCCTTTGTGATGATCGCTTTGGTCCTTTCAACCTCACGTTAGACGAGAAGATCAAGCCCAACGTGGTGCTTCTCTCCCGTGGTCACCCACCACGGCCCCAGTGAGCGGTGGTGCTGGTGCTGCTGGTGGGCTTCAGGTTGGGGTCACCACCAGCTTTCCAGCCCTGGTCTCCTCATCCAGCATCTCCAAGGGGTTGTGGTGGCACCAAGGACATGGTGGTCGACGAAGGGGCTCCAAGGCATGTAGAGGCTGGTCCACTCAAGCGGGGTCTATCTACTAGGAGATGCCCAGTAGGAATGAAGATCCCAACAAGGGTCATCCTGTCAATGGGGGTCAATGGTGGTTGGTCAACCCCATGAGGGGCAATCAACCAATGGTCAACCTAATGAGGGGCAACCAACCAATGGTCAACCCAATGAGGGGCAACCAACCAATGGTCAACCCAACGAGGGGCAACCAATGGTGGTTGGTCAACCCAAGGAGGATCAACCAACCAATGGTCAACCCAATGAGGGGCAACCAATCAATGGTGGTCAACCCAGAGGCTCAACCAATGGTTGGTCAACCCAATGAGGATCGACCAACGGTGACTGGTCAACCCAAGGAGAAGCAACCAACCAATGGTCAACCCAATGAGGACCAACCAATCAATGGTGGTTGGTCAACCCAATGAGGGGCAACCAATGGTCGTTGGTCAACCCAATGAGGCTCGACCAATGGTGGTTGGTCAACCCAATGAGGATCAACCAACCAATGGTCAACCCAATGAGGACCAACCAATCAATGGTGATTGGTCAACCCAATGAGGGGCACCCAACCGATGGTGGCCACTTGGTGGCCACCCATAGGTGCTGCTGGAGGGGCCACATCTCCATCCTGCCCCACATGGGGGTCTCCAGAGATGGGCCCCATCGAGATGGGTGAGGAGAAGACACCCCCATTGGTTGAGCTCTTCTTAAGTCCCACCCACCCCAAAGCGGGGCCACGCCATTGGCTGAGCCCTGTCCAAGACCCACTCAGCCTAAATGGGGGCCACGCCATTGGCTGGGG